ATTACTTTAATTAAATTAAGTACATACGTGTGCAACCTAATGTAAATGTTTCAATAAAGAGATATTAAATACATTAAATAAAACGACGTATTAAACAAATCCACATTTTGGGGGCTCGTCCCGGGATAAGCCAACCGGAGAAAAATATCATCTGCATTTCATGCAAGCAAAGCTGAGCCAAGCGAAAAAGTAGTGACTGCGCGCGAAACACGCAAAACTGCAGAAATCAAAGAAGAGTGACGTCTGCGTTTGATGCCGGCAAAAGCTGAGTAAAAGAAAATTTGCGGCTGCATAATCAATTTTAAGGTAACCAAATTCTTAAAACCTTTGCAAATTTGACATTTGCGTTTGCTGCACCAACAACAACACGCATTTGTGCCCAAAGGTGACACCATTTTTTCACCGTTACATATATATCTACATGGGAATATATATGTAAGAACACATGTATCAAATCAACGGAGGTATGCAAGCACAGTTACGTAAAAGCAGCACAATAACCTCATAGACGCCAGCAGATCAGGACCTCAGCGACGTCAACAAAACGCAGTTCTGCTTTAGCAACGACGCATTCAAAATTGCTACAGAGCGAACGCATATAATACGAATGGAACAACTGCAGTAGCAACTTCGTCATCATACAAGTTGTTACGAGCAACATTCATTAGTATACATACGAATTTTCGTCACGAAGTGAACAAATACATATGTGAATTGGTACGAGCAGAGCGATCACAGCAGCAACTTCGTCATCATACAAGTTGTTATGAACATAGCTCAATCGTAGACGGCAGCGTAGACAAACCCACCACCACTACTACGAACGTTTACGACTAGAACGTTTACTTCAGCAGCGAAGTTGGTAGAAGCAGAGAACAATCACATACGTTAGCGGCAGCAGCAGGTGTATACCAGAAGAAGAGTTGGAAGCAAGCAGCAAGAAGGCGAAGCGAAATAAATGAGAAGTTAAAGACGAATAAGAAGAAGACGAACATTTTTCAAGTGAAGGAAAAACGAAGGTGATCTTAGGTAGAAAGAACACGATAAGAAGGTAAAGAAGTTAAATAGTAAAGAAGAATACAGAAATTATATTGAGAAGCAAAATATAGAAGTTGCGAAATTTGTAAAGAAGATAGTGTAGTGTTGAAAGTTGAAAGAAAACACAATTCTAATTAGAAGTTGACAGTGTAGATAAAGCAGTGCATATGCTGCAAATATAATTGGAATTCGTGCATTTATGTGTATTTATATGGCGTGAATGTTTTGAAAGTAAAACCTTTGTGTTATTATGCACATATGTATGTGCAGATAGATGTAATGCGAAATTGAAGCTATAAGAATTTTACTGGAGTAGGTACGCCAATAAACAATCACATATAAGCATACCAATAAGAAGCGTAAAATAAAAACAAATACCTGTGAAATGAAATTTCTGATTAGAATGTGTTGCCAAAAGATGTCTATGTTTTAATTGATGTTCGAATTGATTAATTTTGTTTCATAAAATACGATTTAAAGAGTATAAGATTTCAGGTGTAATTAAATTACTTACGTATGTTTATTTATGTGTAATTTGTCGATCATTTAAATTTTATTCACATCGTACAATTACTTATATATCGTTTTATATGGTTGAAAAGACTGTCGATGATAGCAGAGCGAAATTACTTTGATTTTTAATTGCGTTAAAACAAAACCACTATAATTATATGTCCGCAAGGTATATTTTTAAATCGTTGCATTCAGATTTAAGGCTTAAATAGTAATATAATCGATACGTTTATATTATAAGTATAGCAAAAATGGACACAGGTGCAATAGACGCGGACGCAGTCCTAAAAATGACAGTAGTGACTTTAAAAGAAAAATTAAGAGAGCTAGGGTTAGGAGTGGTTGGACGCAAACATGAGCTTAGGGAAAGACTACTCCAACATTTAGGCCTGATTGATGATGGTGACGACGAGGATGAAGACGAAGATGAAGATGGTGATTCCCAGCCGAATCAATCCGTAATTGAAGTTCCATCCAGACCATCGCCTGCGCCGGTAAGTACCGCGCACTTCACTTTTAAAGATATTCAGGAAAGCTTGTCAATTTTTGATGGTTCCGACACATCCGACATAAAGAAGTGGATCGAGCAAATAGAAGAGAATGCTGAAATCGTAAACTGGAACGAGATTCACAAATTTATATACGCAAAACAATTGTTACGTGGTGCTGCTAAACTTTTCGTAAGTAGTCAAACTGGGTTACGGGATTGGAGTTGCTTGAAATTGTCTCTCAGTAAAGAGTTTGGTAATAAGCTGTCCGCAGGTGATGTTCACAAAATATTAGGGAAAAGACACAAGAAGCAGGGCGAATCATATCGCGAGTATTTGTATGCGTTGATGGAGATAGGCAAATCGGTTCGATTAGATGAAGAAAGTTTATTGGAATATTTTATCGATGGTATTCCTGGTTCTAAATTCAGTAAGGCTGTACTTTATCAGGCAAAAACCATAAGTGAGCTGAAAGAGCAAATAGTCATTTTCGAAAAGATTAAGCAGGAATCACGAGTGGATAGTTTTAAGAAGGTTGAACCATATAACAGGCCCAAACAAGAAAACGTAAATTCTTCTTTGCCAGCAAAAATCGAAAAGAGATGTTATAGATGTGGCGAATTTTCGCATTTAGCGAAAGATTGCAAACAAAGAGAATTTAAATGCCAACAAATTGGACATAGGTCTTTCGAATGCAAAACACAAACGGGTACGGGTACAAAGCGTGAACATCAACAGGGTACGGGCACAAAGCGTGAACAGAGTCACGTTAATTCAATTGGTGAAGCACCCAAAACTAACTTAAAACTTAAAAAGATAAAAGTTTGCAGCATTGACGTATGGGCTCTAATCGATACAGGCTGTAGCTTATGTTTAATGAGATGCGAAATATTTAACAAGTTGGATAAATCTATTCAACTGGTTCCAGAAAGACGGCAACTGTTTGGTATTGGTGCATCCAGAATATCGACTAGGGGTAGTTGTGAAATAAAGGTACAAATAGATAAAAGCCCAGTAAACTTGACGTTCCACATAGTAGAAGCAGGTGACATGAGCTATGAAATTATTCTTGGTACTTCCATTTTTAAATATTTTGACATGCTGGTTCTAGACGATAATATTGAATTTAGAGATAGAATTGTGGCGTCGAGTAACGTCGATAACGAAGATGTAGCAAAAACGGTTGTACCAAAGGACGACGATCCGATGGCAAATATTTTTTCAAACTCATGTTTTAATATCAGTAGGGAAGAACCAGATTATGACTTAGCTCACCTTAATAAGGGATTGGCTAGTGCGGTAAGGCAAATGATAGATGAGTACAAGCCAACGAAGGATAATAGCCCTTCAGTGAACATGAAAATCATTCTTACTGACGAAGTTCCTGTCTATCAACCGCCGCGAAGGGTGTCATATGAAGAACAAAAAATTATAGACAAACAAGTCGAACAGTGGCTGGATGAAGGCATAATACGCCCAAGCTGTTCGAACTATGCCTCACCTGTGGTGCTCGTGTCAAAAAAGAATGGCACAAAACGACTTTGTTGCGACTATCGTAAGTTGAATTCGAAAATCATACGCGATAACTTCCCTATGACCTTAATCGATGACGCACTAGAGAGGCTTAGAGAAGCGAATGTATACACGACCTTAGATTTGGCCAATGGGTTTTTCCATGTACCGCTGGATGAAAGTTCCCGCAAATACACAGCGTTCGTAACTCATAGTGGCCAGTGTGAATTTCAGTATGTACCTTTTGGTATCTGTAATTCACCAGCAGTATTTTGTCGTTACATCCATGCAATTTTGAATGATTTTATTAGGGATGGGACAGTAGTTGCCTATATGGATGATCTGGTGATCCCGGCTAAGACTGAGGAAGAAGCTATAGAGAAATTAAGGAAGGTATTGAAGCTAGCGAGCGACAAGGGTTTGAGGGTTAATTGGGGAAAATGCCAATTCCTCAAAAAAAGTATACAATTCCTTGGGTATATACTAGAGAACGGTACGATTAGACCTAGTACCGATAAAACCAAAGCTATAGATAATTTTCCTTTACCACAGAC